AAGAGAACCTAGGGAGAGAATCTAGTTCATTCTCCATCACAGTGTTACATCCCAGAGGATAAAAAAAACCCACATGTGTGCTACCACTCACAGCTGCAGCCAGCATCTGTAACCTTCTTAAGGCCAGGGTTCAAGCAAGGACAAGATAGCTTCTGGGGATAACAAGATCCCCATGGGCATAACCCTGAAGCCAGCTACAGCTAGAAAACTCCAGATAACTGCACCTGTGAGAACCGCAGAAGCCTACCTTGACCACAGTATCAGAAAGAATCTGGAGAGATGGAAAGTGCTGGTAACAGGAGAATCAAATTAAAATGTTCCTCTGTAATAGGTGTGAAATGCTTGGTTCCCAAGGCGACCTTCCCAATGCAAGGTGATGTCAACTTTGGGGCACTAACCCTCCCTATCTGCCAGGAACCTGAGCCAAGGATTCCTCTGGTCCACACTGCACTTCCTCATCTGAGGCCAAGGAGTATCCAGACAGCTAAAATAGCTGATCTATTCATGTTCACTGGGCCCAGTTTTGCCAGAAACCAATTGGAAAGCATAATCATCTAGAAGATTTTGCTAGACCACTCTTTTAAAAAGAGAAAAAAAAAAAATCGAAGCCACACAAATCCTATGCAGTGTCTGATCCTGGCAGGGCTCCCGGATCTGCCTCCTGAATGCCAGGTTTCCCTCCTGCTGCTGCTTCCGCTCTTGCTTGGCAAAGGGGAATATGGGCTTTTGGCAAATATGCGTTCTAGTTCCCTGAACACAAATAACAGAGAAAAGACAGACAAGGAAAGAAAAGGAAAGGGAAAGAAGAAAGTGAAAAAGGCAGAATGTAATTCCACATCTCAGCTAAGATTTATTTTGCCAACCAAAAGAAGGGAAGATGAAGGAGGGAGGAGGAGAATCGAGTTGAGAGAAGGAGAAAACAGGAGGGGAGGAGGAGAGATGCCAGGTGGGGTGGGAAGAAAAAGGGAGGAGAGAGAAGACAAAGAAAAGAAATAAGAAAAGGAAAGAGGAAAAAAGGGCAGGAAGAAAAAAGGAGAGTTTGAAGAGTAAAGTGAATTTCATGTCTTTTCCGCCTAACAATCGACTTTGCTTGAGATTAGCTTAGAAATGAGTTGTGTGGTTTATTTTTATTTGGAAGGGTTTACTTTCATTCCTAGAGATGGACCTCTGAGAAGGGTATACCAATAATTCAGCCTCCCTTAAAACGTGAGTAAGCTACACCAGCGATTCAGCCTCCCTTAAAACGTGAGTAAGCTACACCAGCGATTCAGCCTCCCTTAAAACAACAAGCTCTTCCTTCTAATTCTAGCACAGGCCAAGTTTTAGGCAAAGAAGCCACCCACTTCCTGTCCAGATCCCAGCAGCAGTCCTAGGTCAGCAGAACACAGGCTCTCTCTCAGCCATCCTCTCAGTTGATACAAAGCGACCTGACCAGCAGAAGGAAGTCCCTAGGTGCACAGAAAGTTCTCTGCTCTTTAGCACTCAGCCTTCAAGAGGGGGACCTTCCTGCCAAAAAAAGCGATCTTACTGCTTTCCCAAGCATTTGTCTCCCCTTCATAAATAATGATATCAGGCCTTTGGGGGTGGAAAGGGAGAGAACTGCCAATGGGAAATTCAATTTGCTGCAATCAACCCCTCTTAGCATTCAGAGTCACAGAGTACAGGTAAAAGAACTGATCTCTACCAGAAAGAATTGCCTCTAATCACTTAGGAGGCTGAGTCGCCATTTTGAGTTTAGACAGAGTTCTCAGGAATAAAAGCCACAAGAACAGGTTTCAAATGCAACCTGAGTGGCAAACTCCATTGAATTTGGAGGCCTGCAAACTAAAAAGGACACGGAATGCAAAAAGAGGTGCTACGCCTCTTCAGACACCTCCAGGCTGGAAACGTTTAGGGGATAAATAAGTAATTGCAGTCTTTCTGGGCTGCCCATGTGAGGTGCTCTCTTCCCGACTCCATTCTCCAAGATGGAGTGTCAGGCCTGCCAATCAACTCTGGTTTCCCCATTATACTTGGGAGATGTGTTTGCTCTGTGCACGTTGTTTTATAATCCTCAGAGGTGGAATTTCATAGTCCAGCAATGCTTTTGCCTTTGACATTCTCCTAAGCAGGATTTATTGCTTCCAAGACAGATGTGACTTGAATCGATTATGCCTTCTAAGCAGTCGCTCTCAAGCAGCCTCCGGGTTCTGTGGAGCACTTTTTGCCTGACTTCATTCGACTTGTGAGCTGATGTCAGAGTGTTTCATCATAATCTAATACTATTAAGGGCCCTGTGGGTATGGAACTGAGAGGGCTATTATACCAACCAAGTCCAAGGATGTGGTTACTACCCTTGAAAGGCCTACATCCTACAACACAGAAACCTCAGAGATGTCTATTAATATCATAAAATGCAGACTGAACGAAAGGAATATCAGGTAAGTTATATCTACATTCTATCAGCCCCACACTGTTGATGAACTTAGTGTATGAAAATAAGTACATTCATTTTTCTTTGGAATTGAGGTAAGAAGCAGTGTGAAAGCATGGCTGGAAAGTAAGTGAATTTGCCCCCAAAATGCCCAATGAAGATTCTTTTTAAAAAAAAAAATGACAGTTTTGGATGTCTACTTCAAAACTCAAAATCACATATCATCCCTGGCCATCCCCAAAACGTTGGGATCCCATGGCATTTTATAAGCTTGGCAACACTCATCTGAGACAGTAGTAGGATGGGGGACTGGGGGTATCAGACGACCTGATCCTGATTGACTTCAGCAAGGAACATAGGATCATAACCAAAACGGTGTTTCAGAAAGTTAGCAGTTTTGGAAGAAAAGCCATCAGAATGGTGTACTAAACTAATCACAGCCCACTTCGTCCTTTGTTAAAAAGACAGAAGCGGCCGGGCCCAGTGGCTCACGCCTGTAATCCCAGCACTTTGGGAGGCCGAGGGGAGTGGATCACGGGGTCAAGAGATCGAGACCATCCTGGTCAACATGGTGAAACCCCGTCTCTACTAAAAATACAAAAAATTAGCTGGGCACGGTGGCGCGTGCCTGTAATCCCAGCTACTCAGGAGGCTGAGGTGGGAGAATTGCCTGAACCCAGGAGGCGGAGGTTGCGGTGAGCTGAGATCGCGCCATTGCACTCCAGCCTGGGTAACAAGAGCAAATCTCCGTCTCAAAAAAAAAAAAAAAAAGACAGAAGCAAGGAATCTTGGAATGTTAGGAAGCAAAAACCAAACAACTAGGTTTCCACATGACGTTCCTACCTGACTTAGGCAGATCCTCACCTTCAGGAAAGAGGAAGAAGACCTCACCCACCTTTCTTTTAGCATGTGACTTAGGAGAACATCCACCATACTCCGCTCCACTTTCTCTGGCCATTTAGGGGAGAACATTCTGGCAGTCATCAATTTGGGATCGGGAGAGAATATAGGAAGAAAGTATTCCGACACGGTGATCACATGACAGGGGAGATTTTAATCTCGTTAAAAAAGGGAAAAATCATTGTTAACACCACTAAGGTGAGGGGTTTCTAATGAATCAGGCATTTGGTGGGAGAAAACATTTCTGGGAGTGATATGAAACATTTTTAAAATCCAGTTCTAGGCACTAGTAAGCTCAGATATGAAGAAGAGGAAAAATATAAATGGTTTTTTAGTAAATTAGATTTTGCGAACTGGAGTTTACACAATGCCTTTAGGGATTCATTTAGGTAGTCCCCTTGGCTGGGGTGCTGGCTTACAGGATTGGGAGCAGGCATTTGGAGGAAAGCTAATCCTTTCAAGAACAATTTGCTCTCTTTTATTCAGTAAATTGTTCTAAATTTCCCTTTTTTCTGAGTTTCAAAATTGGCTGCCGTAGCTTCAGAATCCTTCCTTTTACCACCAGACAGGCTGAGGGAGAGAGGCGAAGCTGAATGGGCTGTTTATAATGAAGGGGAGCAGGAGAACAGTGAATAGGAATGAAAGGCTTTGCATAATTCGGGCCATCTGAACAGAGGGCCTCAAAAATCCCATGGGGCAGCTTCAGACATTGACAGGTGAGACAGGCACAAAGGCATGGCCGGTTAAAGCCTTATTGGTACAAGACCCAGGATTTGGGATTGATTTTAAAAATAAAACATAAACCACCGCCAGGGTTAGAAACAAAAGCAAAGAAACCACAGTTCAAAATCTCTGCTACAGAGCGGAATGCAAGAAACCACCAACCATTCTGACCTCACCACTGCTGAACAGAAAACAAGCTCGGGAAGAAAGCTCCAGGGCAAATGAACACTAATATCACCAAACCCACAGAACGTTTCCTGAAACATTTCCCGACACTGAAGAGGTAGGAATGACAATTAGATCTAGTTTAGTTTGGCTTCCCTAACATAGAAAACTACCAATTCTCTTAAAGCACCTGGTGTTTGTCTATCAACACGTCTGAAGAGACCCACCAACAAAGCCAGAAGGAGTACACAGATTACTTTTAAATATTTCTATAAAATAGTACACAAAGAGAAACCTTGAAGAATAACATCTCAACAATAGCATACAATGAGCTAAATAACCTTCTGTAATAAATTCAGTGCTAGCAAAACCAGTGCTGACGCACTTACTGAGGGGTACAGCAAATGCACCAAAACATTCATTAGTTACTCAGTGATGCTGTCTGGGGTAAGTATTTGCTCTGCTCCAAAGTCTTTGCCAGCTTTGGTGCCTGCCAAGTTTGTATGTAAATGGATTTTCACTTTTCCAACGCTAATGGGAGATCTGTTAAATTCTCAGAACAACAAATGTACTGTTCTTAAGCTGTATAACTTTGACTTTTTAAAAAGCGAGTTTAATACTAAATACCAAATAAGATCTAATCAGAAATCCAATACTCAATATATCCAAATATCTGTAATATCAGAAAAATGAACGAGTTTCAATAGGTGTGATAGTTGAAGATTTTTGGACAGCTTATGCCAAAAAGAAAAGAATATTTCATCTTCTCCATAGAGAATTCATTTACTGATCTTTGTACCTGAGCATCCATTAAGAGGTGCCTCATCAGTATCATGGAACTCTTCAGAGTCTCCTTCTCAGCGGGTAGAAAAGGGTCTTTGTCCTCCTCCAGGGCCTTCGACTTGGTGACAATAAAATGGGAAATCTGGTCATTAAGCGTGTGCAATGATTGCACAGCTGTGGAAAGAAAGAGAAGGAAAAGTAGAGTCACAACTGGTAACTTGCAAAGAGAAATTGACTAGCAATTTTGAAGAGAAAAGTAAGGGTGTATATATACAAGTTATAAGCCAGGCAGATATCAAGAACCTGACACATCTATAAATTTCATCCACAAATGTGTTCAGAAACTAACAAATACTTAATGAACACCATTCAAATGCCAAGCCTATATAGCATGCTTGGGAACAAAACCAGACATGGTACCTACCCACATGGAGCATCTAGTCATTTTGGGAAAGCTTAAAAAAAATCTAGGTGGCAAGTAGATATATGAATATGACTTTATGTTAAGTATTTATAAACTGCAGAGATTAACAGGGCATGAGGGGACAGCCCTAGACTAGATTTACATTTATGGTAATATAGTTGGCTATTGTACCTCTAAGCAGATGGCCTCTGTCATTAAAGTTTATGAAGGGACAGTGGCCATGTTTTCCAATCAGTGCCACATGTGAAAGGATTATTTCTCTATAATTCCCATTGCACGTACCATCTGACATGTTATAGATTTTAAGATTTTACTTATTATGCTTGTTGTCTCTTTCTCTATTTTTTCTACAATGGACTTGATCAGAGCAGAGAGGCTTCTTTTAATCTCTTTGCTTACTGTTGTATCCCCAAAAACTAAAACAGCACCTAGCAAATAGCTTAATAAATATTGTTGAATTAATTCCTTACATTTCTGTGAATTAGTATTTCTTTCCTTATAGAATTTCTATCATTTTCAAGTAAATCTATTCTTTCAAACCCCAAATAAGTAAATTCTAGGCATTCTCCATAGAGCAACTGCATTCACCACAATTACAAAAAGAAATGTAATTATGAAATTATGAATATAGTAGAGTGAATTTGAAGTTTTTTGGCTTTGGCCATGAGGGAGTGAGAGGGTCCAGATTATCCTCTTGCTGTAAATAACTATAAAACTGAGCGTTATTTTAGAAACAACTATGTTTAGACATTGAATAACAAGGGATTGTGATCTTGAGAAAACAGGAACAAGCAAGTTGCGTCCTAACATCATGCAATCTGCAAGGATAGAATTTCCAGACTCCAGCATAAAAAAGAGAAATCCACGAGACCATCCTGGTCAACATGGTGGAACCCCATCTCTACTAAAAATACAAAAATTAGCTGGGCACGGTGGCACGTGCCTATAATCCCAGCTACTCAGGAGGCTGAGGTAGGAGAATTGCCTGAACCCAGGAGGCAGAGGTTGCGGTGAGCTGAGATCACGCCATTGCACTCCAGTCCTCCAGCCTGGGTAACAAGAGCGAAACACTGTCTCAAAAAAAGAAAAAAAGAAAAGAGAAATCCAAACAGAGCCCCACAATGTCACTGAATTAAGTAGCTGGAGACCAGGAAGACTAAGTTAGCTAGGATTTCCAGGACAGAGTACTAAAAGAGCAGGGGGGGCTACACCTAGACCTCCAAAGATCTGCAAAGGGGTTGCCTTTGAGTTGCTGGCTGAATATCAATCCTGTGTCTGGGCAAGATAAAACTCTACGTGACCAAGCAAGAAAAACTTGCAGAAGAGAATAGTTACAGGGGAGCTATAGGCCTAGTAATTCCAAGAGCTCACATGTCCGTAACTGTTGACATGCTCACCAGCCAAAGAGGAGGAATTTGGGTGGAATACAGGACACATTCATTAGAGACTCCAGAAGGACCAGGCTTTAGAAATTAAGCGAAATGATTCCTAGAACAAAGGCTATTTCAGGCCCATCCAAAAAGAGCTTAAAAGTAAGCCTGGAAAGAATTGAACTGATCTGCAAGTAAGTAAAATACCTGCCAAAAAATCGGCATTTTTTTATAGAAGTGTCACAAAATCTAGTGCCCCAAAATGTAAAATTCATAATGCGTAGTATTCCATAAAAAATTACCAGACATATAAAAAAGCAAGAAAATGTGACTAATAGCTTGGAGAAAAATCAGTGTACAGAAACAAACCCAGAAATAACAGAAGGGATAGTATTAGCAAACATGGCTATTCAGACAGCTACTAAAAATATGCTTTGCTTGTTCAAGGTTGTAAAATAAAACATGAATATAATAAAGAGAAAAGTAGAACATTTAAAGCAGAACCAAATAGAACTTCCAGGGATGAAAAATGCAATATGTGAAGTGGAATTCTCATTGGATGAAATTAATAGCAGATTAGACAATGCAGAAGAAAAGATCAGTGAACCTGAAATCATAGCAATAAAACTATCCAAAATAAATTAGTGACAATGTAAGGCTATAAAGCTAACATATATCTAATTGGAGTCTCATTGGCAGAGACTCCAATTGGGGAGGATAGGGAAACAGAAACAGTGTCTGAAAAACTAAAATTACATTAGCCTTTCCTCATGCTGCCATGTAGAAATACTGGACACTGCGTAATTTATAAAGGAAAGAGGTTTAATTGACTTATCGTTCTGCATAGCTGGGGAGGCCTCAGGAAATTTACAATCATGGTCAAAGGCACCTCTTCACAGGGTGGCAGGAGAGACAATGAGTGCCAGCAGGGGAAATGCCAGGTGCTTATATAACCATCAGATCTTCTGAGATTCACTCATTATCATGAGAATAGCCTGGAGGTAACCACCCCCATGATTAAATTACCACCACAGGGTCCCTCCAACGACACGTGGGGATTATGGGAACTACAATTCAAGATGAGATTTGGGTGGGGGCACAGCCAAACCATATCAAAAACAAACATTTGTTTCCATATTTGATAAAAACTATAAACTTATGAGAATCTCAATAAACCTAAGCAGGATGAACACAGAGAAGGCTGCAACAAGGCATATTATAATCAAATTACTAAACACACACACACACATACACACACACAGTAAAAATGAGAAAATTTAAAAATCACCCAGAGAAAAAAAGGCATGTTACATTTATAGACCAAAAATCGATGTCAGACTTCTCATCAGAATCTATACAAACCAGGAGATTAAAAAATGACATTTTAAAAGTATTGAAAGCAAAATCTTGCCAACTGAAATTGCCGACATACAGTTCTATAACCAGCAATAGCTTTCAAAAATGAAGGTGACTTTTTTAGATAACCAAAAGCTAAGAAAACTCATCAGCAGCAGATTTGCACTAAAAGAAATGTTAAAGAAATTTCTTGAGGCAGAAAGAAAATAACATTAGGTAGAAACTTCTATTTACAAAAATGGTAAAAGAATACTTGCAAAGGGAAATGTGTGAGTAGCATAAACATGTTTTCTTTCTCATCTTTTAATTAATTAAAAGATAACTGACAGTTTAAAGCAAAACCAATAATAATCTCCTGCAAGGTTGATAACATACACAGAATAAAATATATGACAATGACAGCACAAAGAATAAGCAGGTGCCAATGGAAGCATATTGTTGTAAGGTTCAGATTTTTTTTTTTTTTTTTTTTTTTTTTTTTTGAGATGGAGTCTTGCTGTGTCAACCAGGCTGGAGTGCAGTGGCACGATCTTGACTTGCTGAAATCTCCGCCTCCCAGGTCCAAGTGATCTTCTGCCTCAGCATCCCAAGCAGCTGGGACTACAGGCCTGCACCACCACATCCAGCTAATTGTTGTATTTTTAGTAGAGACAGGGTTTTGCCACATTGGCCAGTCTGGTCTCGAACTCCTGACCTCGTGATCCACCCACCTTGGCCTCCCAAAGTGGCAGGAGCCACTGTGCCTGGCCTAAGGTTTAGATCTTTCACATAGTGTGGTATAATGCTATTTGAAGGTAGATTCTGTTAAAGATGGATATTGCAAATCCTCAATCCCTAAAAACATTTAACAGTAAATAATAAATCAAAGATGGGTTCTGAATCATGGAGACTCAAACTTGAAGGGCTGAGCATAGAGTGGCAACTATAGGACATAGGGCAGGGAGAATATAAGATATGACATCACAGCAGTGCCTTGTTGCATGGGAAGACACTACAATCCTTTCCTGGGCTAGAGGGGAGCTTGGCTAAAACAGAGAAGGATGGACTACAAAGAATGTGGCCTGATTCTTGCTTACCCTGAATTCCCGTTCTCCCCTGGAGATGGTTAGAAACACCCAGACAGATTTGAGGATCTGAAAACAGAAGCATCCTAATGTCTCATACCCTGCCCTGGGCAGCTGGGGCAGCCAGTATTAGGATAGAAATGGTTACCCCACAGCATTCTAAGTTAGAGAGAATCTGAGACAGCTCTATTGCCCTACACTGTCACCACTCCCCCCTCCAGTCTTGTATACTGTTGAGCGACTGGGGTTGATGATATCTCAACCTAGTCCAGAAACGGCCAGAGAGACATTCATGGACAAGATATACATCCCAAGACAAGACAATATATAAGCCCCCTAAACACCCAAAGAGAAGAGAAACAGACAGGGCAAGGGAAGCAATTAGAATGTATTTGATATTTACTCAGAAAATACACACTTTTAAACCAGAAGTTACTGAGTTACCCTAAGTAGACTACGTGCTCCAGATCTAAATTGAGTTCCATTAGACAAAGTCACCAACAACGCTGGCTTTTTAGCATTGTGACCATACATTTTAAACTTCTCTGTATGTCCTGTGTATGTTAACTGCAAACAGGAAGGTCAGGACATGCTGAGCTGTGAGGAGAAGAATTGGCAAGGACATCCAAATAATGTACCCACGGTCTAATGTTCGCTCAATTTATGCCTCATTTTTCTCTAGGCCTGCCTTCCCTTCCCCAAACTCCCAATACACAGACTCAATGTTCTTAAGAACAAGCCTTCTCATATCATTCTGAGAGTGCCCCTGTTCCCAGGTCCTTTGCTTATACATGCACAGATATTACTGTTAACGAAACCCCTTAATGCCAGCTCTTGGGAGAGAGGAGTTACTGTCCTTGCTTTTCAGTCTAAGTAGGCTAGTGGATCTAGGGTATTCAAAATGTATTTATTACATTTCTTTTTTTTTTGTATACGTTGCTTACACACAATACAACTTGT